ACTTACATAAAACAGAGTAAATATTCATAGCATGCTTGTATTCCATTCTATTATAGTAAGTGTGGATGTAATAGCTTATATTACATTTTTTCATTATTGCCTTTCTTTGCAAAAAAATGAGTTGCAGCTTTTTATAAAGAATGCTGTCACTTTTAAACTTTTTTTAATGGTTGTTTATGGCGTTGTCTGTTCTTTTGATTTTAAAAGGAATTGTTGTTATCGTGGTAGGTAACAATATTTTATGAAATAGTAATTAGTCTGATGTTCTATGGAGATTAGCGGTTGTGACGTTATCAAAGTAGATAAAAATATGATTTCTGCATAAATGTTGAAATATAAACCGGTATATTGACAAATTTGTAGCGCATATAAGGGCATCGGGCTCTTGGTTTTACTTGGTAGATTTTTTTGATAAATTTTGTTATTTATTTTTAAGTAGTTGTACATACACAATTTAAATTGCATTATTACTATTATTATCATCATTATTATTATTATATTATGATTTAAGAATAGTAATGATACTTATATTTTAGTAGGGTGAAACCGTTAAAACAAAATAAAACGTCAAAACTCGTATTGTACAAAAAATTGTTTTTCAAAGGTAATTAACATTATCGTGTACCTGTGTAATCTTCAATATATATATGTATATATATAGTATATACATAGTGTAAATAACTTGCAAGAACTTGTTTTTAAAAATATTTATGAACTGAAAGTTGCAGTTAATAAAAAAAAAAAAAAACAAAATTATTCCAATTGCAAATGTGATGACGGTGCGATTTGTCAGGCCATTCGGAAAATAGATACAGCTACTAGAGATAAGTTTATGGTGAAAAATCTATATACATATATATATTATACATAGCATATATCGTGTTCGTGTGTAAAATTCCTTTGCGCGGCAGTATTTATTTTTCGAAATTCCTTAATACTAAGGACATGTATTTGTACTTAAATTAATGAATTAAATGTTTTTATTTGTTATGTAGTGGGTAACTTATACATTATTTTGTTTCAACAATTTTGAGAAGACTATAGGAATATTCGACTTCATACTCACAAAAAGATATCGTAGTAGTAGACTCGAAGATGCAAAAAAATCAATGTTTAATGGCTTAATATAATAAATAACCAGTGCTGTGTAGGTTAATGGTAAATTATTTTTCGAATTATTTTCTAAAATCCAAACTTTTTTTTTTTTATTAAGAACACAAGTAGGTACATTTATTCTACTGATTGTTGTAATATATTAAAGTGATACATGTATATTATACAATAATGTTCTTCGACTCTATTGCTGGTATATTTTTGTAACGTTTAACTTTATTTGTATAGATATTCTTAATTGTATTTATTTAATTTTAACAGTTTAAATTGTCTTTTTATTATTCCTGGACTGTGATAAGAGTGTTTCTTAATTTTTCTTTTCCACTCTTTACTAATTATCTACTAATAAAGTCGTTCAATTGTCAGATTTTTTGCTATCTGTCATTAAACCTGAGAAGACAAACAAACTCATGCTTTAGTCAATTTAATTAAATCTTTGTTTCGTACAATAATTTTCATTTTTGTTTCTGTTAATAGAACATTCGCATTTATTTTAATTTAATGGAAAAGAAGACATTACATTAAATATATCGTTGCTAATTATATTAATTATAACAGAATACATAAGTAATTTTATAATGGCACAGTCAGATAATATAAATTCTCAAATATTGAAATATGGTATATGTAGTACACAGAGAAATTAATAGACAAAGGATTACTTTAATAAAAAAGATTCGTCAGTTTGGGTGGCTTTGTCAGCAGTTTCCTTAAATCTTGTAAATGAATTCATTCTGTAGGCTGGTCTCAAGTTTCTAATGGTTGGACGACATCGAATATCTGTTAATTTCATTCTTTTTAGGTAAGGTTCTTGTTCAGAGTTGATATTGCCATCTTCACAATATGAGCGTTTTAATGGATTTGATTTTTTAATTTCAGTTACACCTAAAAGAAGTATAAAAAGGTCCCCAGTATTTGATATTCATTTTACTTTACCATGCGAAGAGAATCCATGAAAAACTGTTTTCACTAAATTAGTCATTGAAGACCATAGGCTATTGGTTTTATTTGCAGTGATGCTAGAATCCTCAGATACAGCAGTTGTGGTAAATCTAGTTTCACAAATTTCAGTTTTCTCTAAAAGGAAAATGATTATACTTTTTTTTGGAAATTTAACTAATTTTGCTACGTACGCGTTCTTTGTACGCAGTATTGGATAATTGAGGACTGGGCAACTGGTTTTCTTGTTCTCATTTCGTCACTAATTTCGTTTATGTTTGTTTCTATTAAGTTTGTACCATCTAGAATGCATTTGTTACATTCTATTTCTTTTATTTTTGGGGTGCATTGCAGATCAATAGTTTTTTTAATGATGTTCACGGCATTGAAGTTATTACCGCTACATGATTTTTCAACTATTAAACAGCAGTTTATTTCACATAGTGGTGTTCTAAACTCGTTTTCGCTATTACTTTTCGATTGTGCCTCGTGTGCAACTTTGCTAGATGTTTCATTTTCCTTAGTATAACTTATTCCAGTTGAGCTAGTTTCAGAAGGACTATTATGATTATTGTTGCATGTGAGAGTTGGAGTTTTACATTGGAAGTGTGCATTATTTTTAAATGTTTCAGAGGGTTCAGGGTTTGAAAGTGGTGTGCGAAATTCGTCAGAATTACGTGAAAACTGTTCGGTGTTATTGGAAGCTGTAACATTTCTTTGAGAACAGTCTTCCTCTCCCAGACGTTGTTCTGACTTGCTTTCTGCAAATTTCTCGTCACAAGATTTAAATAATGACTCATAATTCTTCATATCGTTCTTTTGATCATAATCATTAGTTTTGTGTATTTGTTCTAAAAAGAAATGCAAATAATGACGTTATGAAAATCTATTAATTAATCTACCTGTATGTTTTTCGTTTTGTGATAGTTTAGAATTTCTGTCAGTGTCTAAATTTTGGAAAATATTCTCATTTGTCTCACTTTTTGGTATTGTTAGTGAATGGTCACATTTTTCTGAAAAGAAAGAAGTTATTATAAAACTTGAAAAAGAAGTAAAACTACCTGTTGATGCAGTGCATTGACAGTCCTCTTCTACAATCAAATATTTCACGAGGTCTTTTGTAAATGAACCTTGTCTGTTTTTTTGATATTCTACATTTGGAGTGTCACAGAATGTAACTTTTCTTTTTAATTCTTCCATTTTTTTTGGTTCATCAGTAGTAACGGGAGTAATTCGAGACGTGTTGGCGTTTTCTCTCTCTCGATTATCTAGTGGTGTTAAATCACTAGATATCTTTTCCAAAATATTATTTTCACTTCTCATATTTTGTAATGGAGTACTTGTAGTAGGGTGCACAGTGGTATTTGTTACAGCAAAGTATGCATTACTTGCCATAATAATACTTTTTTGGTAGGGTGTTTGTATTTTCAATGGACTCTGACGATTAATGGGAGTCACAGGATTCATTTCTAATCTGTTGTTGGTAATTCTTAAACATTTAGAGTGAAATTCAGTTTCTGTTAAATTTTCAAATAGTTTTTTACAGAACACGCAAGAGAGAGGTAAATGTTTGTCTTTTATGTGGTGTAATAAACGCCCAGTAACCTTTTTCGAATAAACTTTCCCATGTAAACAGATTTCACACACAGGGTTCACATTATGGAAACTTACTTCGTGCTTTTCACGACAATTTTCGCAACAAAACACTTTTACACAAATGCGACATTTGTTCTAAAAAATTAAAAAGTGTGGGGATAAAATGCGACACGGTTTCTATTTTAACATCAACAAAAAATACCTTTATTAAATCCTTCATGATTAATCATTTATAGTTATAACAAACCACCACAAGTTAATAGAAAAGTTTTTTAGTTGATACTGATAAAAATTCTCCTTGACTAACTGATAAGAAAAGATACATGCTTTTTTGTAAATTATACCTGAACGAAAATGACAACTGTAATCAATTAAACAATTCGTTCAATTTCACCAAAATTATGATTTTAAATAGTTTTTATTATATACCTTGGATAGTCTACAATTTCTTCTTAAATTAAAATTTTGTAGGAAGTATAGTGGGTTACATACTTTAACACGGGAAATTTTCATTAAATCATTTGAGTATTGTAATTTGGGTTGCATATGTTTTTAAAGGTTATAGTATAAAATGTAAACTATGATAATAAACATTCTGGTTTGTAAACACTGTGGTTGTTGAAACCTTTTCGTCTATTAAAGTGTTTATCTAGCTTGGCCTTTTTTAGATTGCAATAAAATGCCAAATATTAACTTTAAAGTAAGATATATGTAATAATTTGTTGCTGTTAAATACTTTCAGATCCGAACAATATGAGTGGAGCTGTGTATGGTGGAGGTTAGTTGATTTCATGTATTAATATTTTTACTGTTTTTAATTAAATAACTGTAATTTTTAGATGAAGTCGGAGCTTTAGTCTTAGATATTGGCCAGAATACAATTAGAGCAGGTTACGGTGGTGAAGACAGCCCTAAGTTAGATATACCATCTGCAGTTGGTACATGGACTGAATCAAATAATGATACAGATGATGTACATTACAAATATAATATTGGTTTAACAGCAATACATGTTAAAAAACCAGGTGAACGATAAATTGTTTAATTTAGTTTCATTTTATATTAATTTTTACATTGTGTTAATAGATATGGAACTGGTTACTCTTTTAAAAGATGGAATGATAGAAAATTGGGATATTTTTGAGAATGTACTTGATTATATCTATAAGCAAGGTTTAGGTGCAATTCCAAGGGATCACCCTATGTTAATCACAGAACCACCAGTAAGAAAAGTTTATAAGTACCTATATTGATAAAATAAATATTTTATTACTTTTTGTTAGTGGATAACTATTCCTAAAAGGGAACAATTAGTTGAAATGATGTTTGAAAAATATAAAGTTCCTGCATTATACTTGGGTAAAAATGCTGCTTTAGCTGCTTTTGCAAATGGTCGTCCAACCTGTTTAGTTGTTGATAGTGGTGCTACTCATACTTCTGCTGTTCCTGTACATGATGGGTAACTGTAGCCAGTTCAAAATCCCATGAGCCTTCACTTGTACAAGAGCTACACTTTATTTCATTCATATTGGTTAATGTTTTTAATAGTTGGAAATGTAAAAATCCATGAACTGACACTGCACATTCTAGGGCCAAGGTTTATGAGATTTTGAACTACTTCTAAGTTTTGGCAATAAAAACTTCCTCTTCTAAACAAAATTAATTTTAGATTTGTGTTAACACAAGCAGTTGTTAAGTCACCTGTAGGGGGTGACTATATAAGTCAACAGTGCAGAAATTATCTGGAAGAGAAAGGAATTGAAATAATTCCTCCTTACATGGTTGCAAGTAAAGAAATCACAAAACCAGATGAAGCCCCTAATTGGCAAAAACGCTCCTCATTACCTAAAGTTACTAAATCATGGCATAATTATATGATTAAAGTAAGTTATTGCAATTTTTAGTTTATACCTTTTCAAACTATATGTTTTTAGGAAGTTATGCAAGACTTCCAAGCTTCAGTTCTTCAAGTGTCTGATAATGTGTATGATGAAGAAGTTGTTAAAAGTATGCCAGCAATACACTATGAATTTCCAAATGGTTTTCATAAGGATTTTGGCGTGGAGCGTTTTAAAATTCCAGAACCACTTTTTAATCCAACTGCAGGGGCCAAAGCTGGAATTCAGCCCATTCTTGGGGTAGGCCCATTAGTTACAACGAGTGTTGGAATGTGTGACATGGATATTAGACCTGTAAATGTTTTTTTTTTTTTTAATTTGATAAATGTTCTGTCATTATTCTTTGTTTCAGGCCATGTATGGTAATGTTGTGGTTACTGGAGGCAATTCAAATCTGCAAGGTTTTACGGAACGGCTTAATCGAGATTTGGCTGCTAAGACTCCACCTGTAAGTCATTTTTGTATTATTTACTAACTTTAATAAGAGAGAGGTGCTGATAAGGTTTAATTTATAGAGCATGCGTTTAAAAGTTTTAAGCGCAGCTGGTGCGGTGGAACGTAAATTTGGGGCTTGGATTGGAGGGTCTATTTTAAGTTCATTGGGCTCTTTTCAACAGCTTTGGATTTCTAAACAAGAGTACGAAGAAGGTGGAAAAGCTATAGCACAATCAAAATGCCCATAGCTTTTTCATCTTAATTTCATTATTTGTTTAAATATTTCCTAAAGACTAGGATTCAAAAATTGACTGAAATATGTTAACAGAAACATAGTACAGAAATTCATTCGGATTTTTGCTTGAGTCTGTACCGTGGTGCCATTAATAAGAGATATTTCCGACTTCTAGTCTTTAGTTAGTTTTTTGTTTTCTGTTTGTCTAATTTTAACACACACCTAGTCTTTTTGTATGTCTAAAATTAATTCTTGGTGCTCCCAATTTATATATGTGTTGTGTGCAATGTTTGTTTTATGTGGGTTTATAATTCAAAATTAATTTATTTCTTATTTGTGTTATACGTTTTTTTTTTTTATGTCGCTGTTAACTTACTTAATACGTACTAATGGCTCAAAAGTTGTGACTGATTTTTATACAACTAGTGTTTGTGTCTACACTATATTGCAAATATTTATGGTGTACCATTATCATACACCTGTATAATTTGAGTGGTTGAAAATTTCGCGAAATTATATTTTATTATTTACATCAAATATAAGTATAGGAAGATAGTAAATGAGATTTAAATAACGATGTGCAGTATTATGTTCTACGCTTATTTTCAAATCTGTAAAGGCTGATTTGTATTTATATTTTTGTCAAATAGATTGTAGGTATGTGATAAAGTAACGTGTTTAACGACAAATTTTATTTTTGATAATGAAAAGGGTTTGAACAAATTTATTTTATGGTTTAACATTAAAGTAACATTTGTACTTATTGGTATTTAAATATAAACAGCAATACATAGAAAACTGATGAAAAATTACATTTAAAACTGAATACAGGCAGTGTTCCTTAAGATAAATAACTGCAATCTATATTTTTACTGCTTTTATTCACTGTTTGCGTTATTTTAATTAAACTTATTAAAGCCTTTAAGCTTTTCATTGTGCCAATATATTATTGAAATAGACTGAATAAAAGGTATGTTTGTTTTATTTGTAACTAAATACTTGTACTTGAATCATACAGTTGATAATCACAGTGAAAGGAATTGTATTAAAATCTTGATGTAGTTTAAATTAGCCTAATCGTTCAGGTTTTGGTAAAGCACATATTTCATTATGGGTTACTATAGCTAATACGCCTGCTAAGGCGATCCCTATAGAATCTGAGAACGTCGTTATACCCATGGCAAAATGCCTTTCCTCTTCTGGTATCTAAAAATATAATTAATACAATTAGTCTTTATAAACGTATCCTGCTATTAGATATGGATGTACCTCTGTAGAGACCCTGTAAAAGGTATTAACATATGCAGCACCTCCTAGAAGACCCTCCCAAAGTGTAATAACCAGCACTATCCAAAACCATGGAGTGTAATAGAATATTACTTCAGTGGTAAAGTATATCACATTTATTAGCTATAATAAATTAAAACCAATTATAAAGAAATGATAAAAAAGTTTAAATTCATATTTACCCCCGAAATACCTAATAAGTTCTTTTTATTCATTTTATTAAGTGCAGCTGGTAAATGTTGTTTACATTTGTTTAATTGTGAAGTAATTCTCGTGGAGGTGTATAATTATGTGATTTATCNAAACTGACCTACAAAAAAGACAAATTAATTAACATGTTTATGTCACATTCATTAGATTACCGTCTTATTCGACAAATGTGGAAAAAATGCCCTTCTTGAAACCATGATGTTAACACGTCAAATGTAAAGCTCTATACAAAGATTTACCTTTAATCAAAAAAAGGATATAAATGGTACATTGTTTGTTGTATTTATATAATAGGATGGTTTATATACTTATGTCGTATCCTATGTAAGATATTCTATCGAGGAATAATTTAGCGTCCCGACGCGACGTCTGATCGAAAGCAATCTGCCGCTGTCGCATCTGCGCACGTCTAAAATTTTACAGTGAAATTCTATTTTAAAATTAGACCTTATCAGATAGGGTATTCAATGATAATTTGTGGCTTTTACAATGTAGTGGCTTTCTATATACTTTTTCTGATAGATTAGAACTGCATAATTTTGAAAATGTTTGATGATGACCGGAACAAGTAATAACAAAAGTCTAATAAGAAATATTTGTAAAATGTATAAACTAAAAAATATATACGTTTTACCAGTTTTTTTGTTAAAATTTTTCGATAATATCATTTTATAATTTAGAGTTTACACTGCATTTTTTAGTTATTAAAGTAAGTTTATGAATTCGAGAAAATTATATAATTAAAACGATCCTTTTAATATTTCAAATTTGTTACAAATTGAGCATTTAAAGCTATAAATTAGATAAATTTTGCCTGCCAAATAGCCTTTGTAAAATTTATAATTAATTTGTTTCTGAGAAATATTTTATAATATTTGAAAACTACTATGGGTCGGTACAATAAATAAAATACAAATGGAAACATTAAATATAGAACTATCATATTTGAGATATCAATTAACTAAAATTGTTTTGACTGTAAATTCTTATTATAACTAAACTGTCTAGCTAGATGGTCTTATTTGATTGAGACATCAAAAAATGGTTTTTGGTGGAATATATAAATTATTTTCAAATTTATTAGCAATATTTGCTAATTCATTCGCAATAACTTTGTGTTCTCTTAAGTTATAAACAAGTTACTTTAAATTAATAACTGTCAATGATTCATCAGCGATATACCGTATCTAGAAACTTTTTACAATAATAAAAGATTGTAATATTTTACACGATGTGTAGGTACTCTTCGTTGTGTGTGAAAATGATGAAAAGTTTGTCGTAATTGTTTCCGACTTAGGTGATAGGATAATTATGAAACAAAACGATGGTTATAATTTAAATAAAAGGATTGCTGCTTTATATTTCAAGAAAAGAGGTTTTTATATTTATTAAATCGCTTTTTTGAAGTCTTATCAGTCTTATGACATATACAGTGTATCTAAAATTAATGCAAATATTATGAAAATGCAGTGGCTGATTACGTTGTAGAAAAAAAGGGTTCAATTTTCAACTACTTTGGAACGTCCTGTTAAAATTTTTTGTTCGAACTGATTTTTGATGAGCTTTGTTACAAGTTAAATCAATTAATTTTGGTTAGGGGCAAAAAAAATGTGTATTTATGGTGGACATATTTTGATAACAAACTAGTTATACTACCTAATTAATTTGTATTACCTAATTAATGGTAAATACAATACCAAGTTAAAAAATACAATGCGTTACCTCTTTTGGTTCCCTCGAGGACCATTTTTTCTTTTACGGAATGTTTTTGATAGGATTTGTATTAATGGAGGGATTCCCCTGTTTGGAATTGATTATTGCCCGAAAGCCAAATAATATACGGCTTTCTGAGCAACAATCAAAACCGTACAGCGTTTATCAACCATTCCCTATTTTTGGCACTCACGAGAGGTCACTTAAATGAACTGATTCTAGTTCAACTGAAATTTTATTTGAACAAAACTATTAGAAAATTTTCTCTTGTAGGGATGGCTCTTAGTAGTTTCGTGATAATAGGTTTACAGCAAGAATTTCCCTTCAGTTTGGTAATTTATACTTGATTTAGTTCATTAGGTGCATGCGTGGTCAAATCTGAATGCATTCATTTAATTTCAGTTGCAATTGCATCCACTGTGCGCAAATGGTAACGCCTTTTTCATTGCTAGTTTCCACCCCTTTAAGAACAATATAAGTACAGTATAATATAATACGTAATTCGTAATTTTCATTATTCATACTATAATTAATTTTATTCACGAAACTTCTATTAACAGTTATAACAGTCGACTTATTTAGTTAGAGTGTGTGGTAATTGTTTTCGCCAAATTAAGTTTCTTAATCTAGATCAAAGAAATGTTGTCGATTTATTACACTATGTTACTCTAAATCATTGTCGTCATCAGATTAATGATAAAAACAGATAGAACGCCAATAAGTTTCAATCAAAGTGATTAGGTACCGCTTCAATAACATTTTACCGATGCAAAAACGATAAAATATCTGTTACTTTCTTATGTGGTCCATTTAAAAAAATGTTTTTTTTTTTTTAATTTTAAATTTCGTTCTTAAAATTATAAACTAAATTTTATGTAGGTAGTTTTTGAACGGTTTTGCTTATCACCTATTGCTTTTTATTATATATAATAGGTAACTATAAAATAAATGCTAATACTTATCGGTATTGCCTATCTTATATGTTTGTACTATTTACAATAATTCAAATACAGATATATGTTGTACTTAATTTCAAAAGTGATGCTAACAAATACAAAATGGTATGAAGGAGCTAGCGAGTCTTCTGTCCTGCTGATAAACTTATGGAGGAAATGTCCAAGCAATATAAAATCCTATTTTTTGGTAAGTCTAATATTTTTATTTAAAACCTATTTAATTATTTATAAATTTGATAGGAAATTGTAACAAGTACGCAAGTTAAACTGTAGATGTCATGATCAGTTCAACAAATTTTATTCAAATGTTTGTGTTGGCAATGGTCAGTAATTTTTTGTTTTAAAATGTTTTGTCTAAAAGTTTAACAAACATGTTTATTCAGTTTAAAAATGGTTGCGTGAAGCTAATATGCAATACGTTCGGGCGTCGTTCTTCAATAATAATTAATTAAAGCAAATTAATATAGTGTCAGTGCATTAATACAAAACAAGTTAGTATTGTCCTGAATCGACCGGCTTCTGTTGTGGTGAGTCTTGAAAATTTAAATTCTAGGTGTTAATTGACTTGTACATTCACATTGTAACCTTTACAAACAGAGTTGAGATTAAAAGATTGTTATTGAAATGGATTGGTTATTACCATTAGTTAACATAGCACCAAAAGGCATTTTGTTTTCATTAAACTTTGATCATTTGTTTGCACGTATGTACCTGTACTTATGATAGAGGTCGAATCAATAATATCGATTTTTTTTGGCTTTCTGCCAAGTGCAGTCTTTACTAGATAGCTTGCGATTATTTAAGAAAGAAGTATGTTGTAGGTAGTACAAACTATTTAGTAAATAGGTATACTTTATGTCTTTAAGCTTGTAACTTATCTAAGCGCCGATTTATATGCAGGTACTGACTGATATCTTTGTCTGGTATGATATTAATAAATAAGTAGAATTAATTCTACTCTGTTAATTCTCTTTTTAAGTTATTAATTAAAGCATACTAATTTTACTTGAGTATAATTTACCTGAAATACAGCCATCAACCAGATTTTTCTTATGTGGATGATATTTACAGATGATCTAGATAAAAATACTCCAAGTTGGTAATCTACTTGTAACCATCGATATTGCGAATTTTTGTCGAGGAATGTGTTTTCGAAGTGAATTAGTTCAAACTGAAATAATATCATACAAAATCATTTCCTTTTTCAGAAATAAACAATAGATGATAAAAGAAATGATTTGTAAGGTAAAAAGAAAGTTTGGCATGTTCATTTTGATGGATTTCATTTAATATCTCGAAGTTTTGATATTTTTTAATATTAAGAAATTCAATTACAACACTTAATTTAATACATACCATTCCTTGATTGATAAAATACTCTAAAAAATAAACCAAGCCCAAGGGAATCATAAACTTAAGTAATTTTGGAATAAAATACACTTTCCTTTTAAAAGATAACTTTTTGACTTTCTTATCACTTTCATCTCCGTCATCCTTTTTATTCAGTTTTGTTGGTTTAGACAGAATAATCCAAAAGCTGAAATAAAATATTCGATAACAATTGTTCATATATTTTTATAAAAACTTTAACGTACCTAATTCCCATAATAACTGGAATGGCTGTCATAGTAAGCAATGCTGTTCTAGTACCTAAAATTTGGAGGGCTACATATGAAAATGCCCCAATTATACCGGCCCCTCCTGTTCCTGATGACCATGTAGAAACCACATTTCTAAATGAAAGACAATTATTCGTATGTAAATTATTATATGTACGTATAAATATAAATTTTGTAATAAATTTAGAGCTATCAAAAGTATTAAGAAAAGGACATTAATTAATTAAAAAGAAAATTTCTTCTTGGTACTTACTTATTATAATTAGTACTGTATTGTAAAAATGTGATTTCTCCAAGTCCAGAGGCCAGGGAGGTTGCAACAACCCCTAATATAGATAGCCATTGCGAATAACTAAAAGCTACTATAAGAAAACCACTAATAGCCAACAGTATACAGATTACTACCCGAACGCTAAAATTTCAATGTTTTTTATTTAATATCTCGAAGTAAAAATTTAGTCATTACTTGACAAAAAAAGGCAGGAAAGGGGCCGTAATTTTAATTAATAGGGACGGCAGGATATCTGCTAACAATATGGCTCCCGTGGACATATAGTTACATTCGCGCTCGGGGTTGTCCGTTGAATTATTCGATGGCTGAAACAAAATTAATTAAAATTGAAATCATGATTACACTTTTATTAAATATAGGGCAAGAATTTTACGTTAGAAAATAGTTATTTATTATTTTTTTTGGAAACAGAAACTATTGAACTTTTAAATAGTCGCACATAATGATTTCGAGTTCTTTAAAAGGTCCTTCAACGTTGATAAAATTATATGAACTATCAGACTACTTGGAAGTCTTTACTTAAAGTGCTTTAGCCTTAATTGTTCATGAAAGGGTTTAATTAAATTTAAATTTACACTATTAAAAGTCTTAACACTTATTCTTATTTTAATAATTAAATCGTAAATTGTTTGTTACCTCTTCTGATTCCTCACTGAGTATATCATTAGCAGCAGTAAGCATGACAACATAGCCATAATTGTTGCAAAGTCCTAACAGCCAGTATGCTACTAATGGTCTCCAAGTAGTTTTAAACTCCGAATTTTTGAATATACTAAATGTTCCTTTCTTGGAAATTTGCGACGATGGCCCTTCGGTTGGCGATGCTTGATGCCTTTGTTGTAATTCGTAATTTTCATTATTCATACTATAATTAATTTTATTCACGAAACTTCTATTAACAGTTATAACAGTCGACTTATTTAGTTAGAGTGTGTGGTAATTGTTTTCGCCAAATTAAGTTTCTTAATCTAGATCAAAGAAATGTTGTCGATTTATTACACTATGTTACTCTAAATCATTGTCGTCATCAGATTAATGATAAAAACAGATAGAACGCCAATAAGTTTCAATCAAAGTGATTAGGTACCGCTTCAATAACATTTTACCGATGCAAAAACGATAAAATATCTGTTACTTTCTTATGTGGTCCATTTAAAAAAATGTTTTTTTTTTTTTAATTTTAAATTTCGTTCTTAAAATTATAAACTAAATTTTATG